ATACCCTGTGTTTCTGATTTTGCAAAACAAAGTATGATTTTTCCTGCCGCTAAAGTCGCATTTAGACCTCCGGATTGGCAGTCCTCGCTACACGGACATGACACAGGACATTTTGGATTGCAGAAGATGCCAACAAAGATAAAAAAGAAAAATATTTGAGCAAAAAAATGCAAGATAAAGGTCTCACAATTCAGTTGAGTCCAAAGCTATTCGTTCGGAGTATGTTAGGCCAGTGAATCCATGAACTTGTTTGTTGATTGGAATAGACTGACCCTGCAAAAAAAAAAGAACACCCACTAGAAATCTTGACGGAATCAGCTGAACGAAGTGCAAGAATCATGTATTTACCCAGAGAATGTGGCGATTTCCAAGTGTTATTGCAGTTGGGAAGGCACGGTCAATTGTTGTAGCAGCTACTGTAATGAGCCAAGGTGCAGCATTTACAACTGTTTGGGAGATAGGACCATCATTTCCAGCTGAAGTAACAACAGTTATCCCCCGGAGAGTTGCGTGGAAGGAGCCTATCGCAATGGAATCACGATGATCATTATACGAAAACAGTGGAATTTCACTTCCAATAGATACTGATATAATATCAACACCATCTTGTATTGCTTTGTCAAATGCCTTTAGAAGATCAGCATCTGCGCAGAATCCCACTTTGATGGCCCAGCAAGCCTTGTAAATCGCTAGGTGAGCGAGAGGTGCTCCTCCTCTGGCTAAACCTGCTGCTAGTCCTCTATAGTTTGCTTTCTCAACAAAATAGCCTGCTGCTGTCGAAGCTGTATGAGTGCCATGTCCAATTCCATCTCTTGGTGACAGAAAATCCCCGGTTTTGCTTGTGTTAATAGGCTTGTTGATCTCATTGATAACTCCTTTCACGAACCAGCGAGCCCCGATGATCTTTTTGTTGCAATTGGAGGAGCTGAATTGCTCTCCCTCTTGACATTTTCCTTTCCAATGAGACGGGACTAGTCCCATGCCTTTGTCGCTGAAACTTTCAGATTCTGGCCAAATGCCTGCAAGATTTTTTGAGCTTAATTATCTGTCAGTTGAGGGTGTTTGAAGCTGAAACTTTGATGGTGTTTATACCTGAATCTATCACACCAATGATAGTTCCTTCACCCATACTGCTTCCTGTAACAAGATTTCTCGAAGAATGCTGGTGGAGGCCAATGAATTCCCAGCTTCTGGTTGTATGAAGCTTGTGAATTCTATTCGGAATTACCTGGATAACACCAGGAAGCTCTGCAATTCAAGGCTGATGATGATAAGTTACTACGTTGCAGAAAAATTATCCAGTGTCGAGAAAATTGTTTCACCTGCAATTTCTTCAGCCTGAGACTTTGTCAGCTTTGCAGCAAACCCAGAAAAACCATGCTTATAGCTGTAAATAATTGAATTCCTTGCTGCTTCTTTGCTGCAACATAAACAGAAGGAAGCTCTTCTTACCCATGACTGAAAATACAGTTGATATCTGAATTTATTACGATGAATATAAAAGCCAGACCTTCCAAGAAAAGCCGATAGCATTTCATGGTGGGATTTCTTGGTTGCTGCTGGATCTTCACACTTGTTTTCTCCCAAATAAACAATGTATGCCTGTAGTATTACTTAGTTTTAAGCATGTAACTATATATACATATATGTATACAAGAGAAAAAACCCATGTAATGCCAAAGTTGAATCTGCTTCGTGCTTATACTCACATTACTTGCAGCTTCATTTAGAAAATGCTGACGAAAAAAGAAAACGAAAAACAAAGGTAAGAACTCGAATCTTGTATCCATGAATCATTCAACCATTAGAACAGTATTCAAGTTGTTCTTTTTTTGTTTTTCCTTTTTTCTTTGGTTTTGAATACTTTATTGCAAATGAAATGGTATAGGGAATTCAATGGACATGATAATAAAAAGTGAAGGAGTTAGAGTAGAAGTCTATGAACTATATGTAGTGAGTGGAAGTGGAACATCTTTTTTTCTTCTTCTTGTGGTGCTCTTTTAGGAAAGAAAGTGGAAATGCATGTGAACTACTATAGGAAATTTAAGGGGAAAGATGCTCAAGCAAAAAGAGTTGTATGTGTAGAGCATACCAAGATAGGAGTCATACACTTTGCCATATGTATGCATAACTTTTGCTTGGCCTTTTATTTAGCCAACTTGTATGGTATAGCCTGGTAGAGTTTTAGTGTTGAATCATTAACAAAACAGGAAACGATAATCTATATACATCGTATGCAAGAAAATTTATTGGGTTTTGATTCACATAAACACTTCTCGTATCTGTACTAATAACACAACTTTTTAACAAAAACACAGATGACGCACGTAAATGTAACTTTAAAACAAATACAACACGATAGATGTAATCTGTGACTCGAATTCATAATTTGGTAAAAAGAAATGATAGGACTTAGCATTTAGTTAAAAGAATTGTTGGTAATCCCTGTATATATATACATACACACACACACACACACAAAGTTTTATAATTCTATGAACTCATGAGTCAATTGGGTGTAGGACCCAGAAACCATATTGATTGATTGGTGGCAATGAGAACTTTTATTTGAATTGGAGATGTGTAAGATTCCATTGAAATACAGCTTTTTCTTTTCTCTAAAGCTTCTCCTGTTTGTAAAAAGTCACTGGTTGGATTCCTCTTTTCTCAGCCAACTGAGAGAAAGCAAGCTCTCATGCATCCCAACAAAACTTAAGTGTTGTTTCTAACTCATTTAATAAGAACATGTTTAATTTGATGATTTGTTTTTGTTCTTCTCAAATTCGGTTTCGATTCGATTTTTTAATAAAATTCTTTATAATGTTACGTTGTACTAAAAAAAAAATAAAGGTAATTTTTAAATTTTAATATTTATTATAATTTAAGATTTCTCTCGTTTTATATTTATTTTAAATATTTAATTTTATTTTTATCTTTTAAAAGAAAAAAAAAATTAAAATGATTAGATATTATTTGAATCATTTAAAAAA